GTAGCATGGAATTCTGTGCATCCTATTCCCTACTAGGCTATATGTTCTTTTAAGCAGGGGCCTTGTTTGTCTAAACCTTAAACCCTTGGCCTCTAGCAAAATACTTTGGATGCTCAAAGTACTTAGCAAATGTTGTTTTTAATGATTTCTACCTCTGCTGAAGTGCTCAGAATTAGGTATGTGTATGGGAGATGTATAGGAAGCCACCTTATTTCATCACATTCAGTCACTGGCTTAGCTGGGTGGTAATGAGTTCTCTTTAACTACAATGTTGTTTTGCAATCTGCACCTTGTAAAAAATTTCCTTGGAAATTGTTGTATAATTTTCTGAAATAAAGTAGTCATATTTTTCTCAGTTCTGGGAAGATAAACAATTCTTATATTTTTTTCTCATTGCTTTGCTCAGTAACTTTTGAGTGCAAGCATTCCAAATCTTTTTCCAATTCTGTAAATCTTACTGGACTTATTTCCTGTCTCTTCTGTTGTTTCTATCATTCTGTCCTACAGTAAAATAAGTCTCTTTTCTATTATTGTTTTGTTTATATTTTCCACGGATATTTCTAAACTGTTGAGTTTCATGATTATCTTGATCTGAGATTTTACTTGTACTCAGTTCTTTATTTATTCCACCATCTGATGCTTTCGTTAATTTCTTTTGTCCCTTTAATTTCTCCCATATGTTTAATATCCATTTGAATCTTGAAACAATCCTAGCTTTGTTTCTAGTACTTCTGTTGGTAGTATTTCTGCATATTTTTCTCCTGGGATTTTTCCTCCAATTTTTAAAAACCTGTAATATATTTTTCATCGGGTCAACATTTTTCTTTTGTTTGCTCTTTTTGTTTATCTCCATTGCCCTCCCCCCCTTTTTTCTTTTCAAAGTTTCTATTAGTTTTTCTTCTTTTGCCATTTCTATTGCAGTTTTTGAAGAGGGTGTTAAGGATATTGCTATATTCCACTCTTTCATTTTCTAGGAAGTTAATTGGGGACTCATTCTACATAATTATTTCAAAATTAATTAGATAAAAGTCTTCTGTTTGAATTTTCAACTTGTCTGCTTTCTTCCTTAATGATGACAAAAAAAGAGTACAGCACCAATATCCCACAATGTGTTACAATATTGGAAAATTACAATTCTGGAAAAGAAATAGCTTTTCCAGTTTGGCTAGAAATGTAAAATGCTTTAAAAAAATGCTTTAAACACGAAAGAAGTTTGGAAATGTAGGCTAGAGCCAAATAGTGATGGTTATAAAATGTCAAACCGAATTTATGTTTTATCCTAGAGACAATAGGGAGTGCCACTGAATATTTTGGAATAGGAGATCAACATTATCAGACCTACTTAAACCTTAGAGATATCAATTTGGCAGCTGTGTGAAAGGGGTAGAGCTGCCAGTTAAATTACTTTAAGTTTTTAAACTCAAGTTTTTAATATATTTTGATTACTGTACTTCAGTTTAATTGGTTTCCCTTGTAATATCGTGTATCTTATTTTATACATTTAAAAACACACTAGAATGGATAGAGCACTGGCCCTACAGTCAGGAGGACCCGAGTTCAAATCCAGCCTCAGACACATAACACTTACTAGCTGTGTGACTCTGGGCAAGTCACTTAACCCCAATTGCCTAAAAGAAACAAACAAACAAAAACACAGTAGGCATTATTATGAGGAGTGCATAGATTTCACTAGACAGGCAATGGTATCCATGATACAAGAAAGGTAAAGAACTTCTGCTTTAAAATGCTGGCTTTTAAATAAAATCTGGATGTTATAAGAAAAATGTTTCCTAGTTACATAGTAGAAATGTACTTGATTTTATATAAGGACAAAAATGATTCCTATGTCTAGGTTTGCAAACAGTCTTTAAATACAAGAAGTATTAATTATTGACCATAGGGGCAAAATATGATGACTTTTTAGCAGCTTTTACTGCTGCATGTTGTGAGGATATTGGTTTATAATTAGTGGTATATTAAAGAATGTCATCATGGCCCAGAGCGATGTCTTTGAGGATTTGTTGCAAGAGCCATATGAAAGAAGTTGCTGACAGTCTTGACTATGGACAGCTGCTGGTAATCACCCCAGTGGCTGCTTCCACGAATTTCCATTTCTTTTCTCATTTTCCTGCCTTTCAGCTAGATACAATGATCTTTTGTTGAACATCCTGGCTCAACTGCAATTGAAATTGAGGTCAAAAGAGGGAAAAATTTGGATGAGATTTTTAACCTACATTAAGCCCTTAATAAGTGAAACATTTTACATATAGCTCCTTAAAAGCTTAAAAATAGTTATCAAATCTCCCCTAAATTTTCACTCTTCTAGGCTAAATACCCCCTATTTCTTCAACTGATTTTCAAGTGGCATGAAGTTAAATTCCTTTACCATGCTGGTTGGTCTTCTCTAGATGTTCTCCAGATTATAAAAGTTCATTCTAAACTGTGGCATCCAGAACTGAACATAATATTCCATGTAGTTTAACCAGGGTAACACCAGTAAAAACATAATATTTACCCAATTCTTTATATTTATCCCAGAAGACTTCACCTCTTTGTGGATGCCTCCCAAATATACTCCAATCTTCACCTCTTTCCCAAACTCTAGTCATGAATAGCCACCTATTTGGTATCTCTGCTTGGATGCCTCACCAGCACTTCAAACTTAAAATTGCAAAAATTTGAACTCATCATTTTTTATACCCTACTCCATACCCTCCTCATCAGACTAGGTGCCTTTCCTGAATCCTTTTTCTGCTAATCAGTATAATTATTCTTTCAGTCACCCAGTTTTAAAACTTTTCTCTTTGCTCTCTCTCCATCTCTGTCTCTAATTTTGTCTCTCTCTGTTTCTCTCTCCCCCCTCTTTAAATACTAATCCAAGAGTGAGGAACCTGGGGCCTCGGGGCCACATGTGGCCTTCTAAGTCCTCAAGTGTGTCCCTTTGACTGACTCCAAACTTCACAGAACAAATTCCCTTAATAAAATCAATTGCTCTGTAAAAGTTGGATTCAGTCAAAACGCAGCACCCAAGAAGCTAGGAGGCCACCTGTAGCCTGGAGGCGACAGGTTTCCCACTCCTTGTCATGTTGATTCTTCCTTGTCATATTTCTCACCTCTGTCTTTTCTGTTGTTACTACTACCTCTGTAAAGCAAATACATGGTACATTTTGCATGGATTATCACAGAAGACCTAACTTCTCTTCCTGCCTCTTGTCCCTTCTCCTCTAATTTATTCTACATATTAAAAATCTGATTGTGCCTCCCAAGGTTGATATGAAGAGATTAATGGATGAATGACTTTCCAATACCTACAGAATAAAGTTCAAACTCCTTAGTCTGACATTCAGTACCCTTGACATTCTGGCCTCAACCTACTTTTGTAATCTTAACTCCTACTATTCTCTATGCAAACCCTGTGTTCAAGTTTAACCCAGACTATACATCCTTCACCACTTTCTTGCCACTGTCTTCACTCAAGCTATTTCCTATGCCTTAAAAGTCTTATTCCTCTCCCCTTTAATCTAAGTTCACTACATAAATGAAATGTCAGGTCTCTCTCAAAAAAAAAAAAAAGGATCATGAACATAGAACTAGTAGGGGCCTTACAGACCTCTACAACCCTTTCTTTAGGTCCAGAGAAGCAGTGACTTGCAGGTAATCACACAATTAATAATTGTCAGAGGCAGGGATTTGAACTCCAATCTTTCTGACTCCATCTCTATCCAATGCCAAATAGGATAACCTTAATATCTGCCCTGTCTAATATACATATATACATCTGAGGACAAAAAGTAAGATCATAAATGTGAAAGACCAAAATCTAAGGTGATAGGACACTCAGGAATAGGAACTGCATGAGATAAAGTTGCGGCTGTAGATTTTAGAACTTGAAGAGACCTGGTGAGTTCATCTAGTCCAGTTTTTTTTTTAACGTGTGTGTATGTATTCTTCGAAGTCTGGTAAAATCTATGGATCTCTTCTTAGAATATTGCTTTTAAATGCATAAAATAGAAACCTAGGTTTACAAAGGAAACCAATTATATTGAAATACAGTTATCAACATATTAAAAAATATGGTCTTAGATTCCAAGTTTAACCCCTTCCCCCATTTAGACCTCTCAATTTGTAAATGAGGAAACTGAGGTGCAGAAAATTGCTTAAGGTCACACAGGGCATGAATGGCAGGGTTGGGACTGGATTCCAGGTCCTCCGGTTCCAGATAGATCACTCTTCACAGTTGTGTTGTGTTCACTGGCCTTTTTACTCATATTCACTCAGTAGGGCTCTCCCCAATCAGTCAATCAACATGTATTAAACACCTACTATGTGTGGGGCATTGTGATGAGACAGCTTGCCAGCCTTTGTAAGCTGGACTTGTACTGTTTGTCCTCACAGGTGGCAGTAAGTGGCATCCTCCACCCAGCGGCCCAAGAAGGCAGTTGCTGAGTTGGGGGTCCGCGGTGGGCCCGGCCCCTCACAGGTCTAGGTCTGGGGGCCGGGCTCATCCCGCAGCTGCAGCAGCGGCGGTTGCCTCTGCCCAATGCGCACGTGACTGAACGGACCTGTATGCCTGCTGGAGCTGGGGCGGGGAAGGAAGAAAAGAGTGGAGTGGGTGGTTGGTGGGGGGGATTAAGGACCAGGCGTGCGTGCCGGTCGGGGCGGGGGACAGAGGAGGCGGAGCCCCGCTCGCCTCGGCTCAGCTCGGCTCAGCCTTGGCAGCGCGCGCTCCGCCCGGGGGCTGCGGAGGTGAACCTCCCCGCGCTGTGGACCTCTCGGGACCAACGCAGCTGCAAACGCCCGCTTCTGGTCTCTGTTTACTAGGAAGGCAGAGAGAAACAGCCGTAGTCCGGGAGGGCAGCGCACACTCTCACACACACTCACACACTCTTGCTGGGCACAGCTGGCTCCCCAAACCAGAGAGGAGAAGCAGGCGCGATACCCCCTCCAGCTCCGCAGCCTCGTGGGGCTGAGCCCCAGCCCTTTGTGCGTTCGTTCGCTGGGGAAAGGTCTGCGCCGCCGCCACCCACTGCCACCATCGCCGCCACCGTTACCTAATCAGATCCCTGTCCTCGGGTAAGCACGTCTCTCTTTCCTTTTAAACCTGTTCAACGTCGGCTCCGGGAAACAGGTGGAGGAGCTGGGTAGGAGGCAGGCAGGCCACATCCCGGTGGGAGGAGAAACCCGAGCTTGAGTCGGGGTCTAGGGCCACGCAGCCTCCAGCCAGTGTCTTGGCAACGCCAGGATATTACTACTCCACTTACTTATTCTTCCCACCTTGGAGTTCGTTCTCCCCACCCACTCCAGCGTAAGATGTGCTGCCTCTTTGGTTGCCAAGGAGACCTGATTAAACATCAGCTTGGGGACTTTTATTCAAAGGACATCTTTTTAAAATGCCCTTCTTTATTGTGACTTTGGGGATACAATACATTGTGGAGGTGGTGGTGTGTTAGTCTAGCATTCTTTAATTGGAGTCCTCGTGTGATATTTACGTATTTAGACCACATTTTCATTCAACTTTGAGAGGGGATTGCAGGGTGTAATTGGTTCAAGGAGGGAGGGGGGAGGGATGAGGGGACGATCGGAGAACATGATTTTTCCACGCACAAAATTTTGACTTGTTAGAAACTCTAATCTTACTACAAACAATGCTATTTCCATCATAACCAAATTCTCGTGCTTCTTGTCATTTTAGTAAAATCTTGTAGTTAGAGGGTGCCGATGAGCTAAAATGAGTGGATACCTTCTTGATATTAAAAACAAAAAATATTTTGAGAATATTTATTTTCCTGTATATTATTAATATACATATGTTAATATACATTAATATAACGTATGTTATAACACTTTAGATGACTATTTTAAGCATATGTACATACTTATGTATATGTGTGTGTGTATATATATATGTACATATATATATATATATACACACACACACATACACATATATAAATATGTATGTATACTTGGAGCTGGAAAGAAAATTTGAACTCATCTAGTCTCCATTTCACAGATGAGAAAATTGAGGCCCAGAAAAGTGATTTGCCCAAGGCCTCAGAAGTGGCAAAGTGGCATTTCAACTTGAGGTCCTTTAAATCTAGTGTTCTTTCCAGTGAGCTATGCTGTGATGATATGAATAATTATGCTAAACATGTTTGTATTAATCTTTATTAGACATATATATGCATATGTGTATGTGTATCTATCACTAATGCTTTTTCATCTTTATTTAGTTGTTCTTGAATCTCTCCTAATCCTTTGCTCATACTTATGAATACTCCTGGTTGGTTTTTTTCCCCCCCCAAACCCCTTGTTGGTTTCTCTGGCTGTATGATCATTCAAACAGTTTAAATTGTTTTTTTTTTCCCCCCACCACAATTCTATAGCCCAGGCAGAGAAGTTACTTAGCAGTTGGGGCATATTTAAACATATGCTCAGAAAGCTTTATTTTAGAAACATGAACAAAAATGTTTCCAACTTTTAAATATTTAGATGTCAGAATGAGCACATGTAGTGATGGGCCCATAACAAGTAAATGATGTCAATGAAAATTCACCTTTAGGGTGTTGCTTTTCCTTGGAGATTGTAGTAAAGTGAGGATAGAGGAAGCTAGTTGTTTATATCTTTTTAGTTTTTTTTAATGGCTTTAATTTTTATGATAGCCTTAAAAGCATGCCCACTAACTCTGGCAAGTGTTTTTGCCTAGGTCTCTTGTTGCCTGAGTTAAAATTTTTCATATTATTGCCTCAGGTGCATATTGATTTGGTCTACAGTATATGAACTGAAAGGATCAGTACATGATATGAAATTTTCATTTTGTAATTACATTACATTTTGGAAAATTATGTGTAATTCCTTCATCGGTTACACTAGTTACCTAATAAATACCCAGTGGCAACATTGAAATCAATGTTTATTTTGTTTTTGCCTTGCATTTTTCTTTGTTTCATTTTTAAGCAAAGCAAAATAATGGTTTTCTTAGTCCTTTATTAAATCTAAACAGATTACATGAGGATAAGTCCTGTAATCGATAGTATTATTAATGATACAAACAAGCTAAATTAGGAAGCTAAATTATGACTTATGTGAAGCAAGGTATAATAAAATGTAATAGAATGCTATTGTGAACAAGGAAAAGCAATTATGGCCAATATAGTCACAGTAATTTGGAGTTTTCTGAATTTCTCTTCACTTAAAAATCAGCCATCTTACTACAAATATGCCCTGATTTTAGAAAACTTAATATATAAATTTATAATCTGTGCATATTAAGACTTGGTGATTCACTTTACCAATAAAACTTCTTGCTTTTGAAAAGGATGAGTCATAGAGTTCCCAATGCTGGAGTTATCTTAATACTTTTAAGTGTCCTTTACAGAGATAGCCAGGGGACAAGAAACCAGTGCACTGGGAATAGAGGAGGGGGGAAAGACCATTTGGAGGTCAGTCATTCAGAAATAAAAGCAAAATTTCTCTGAAATTCAGAAAGCAAGTTAAATGAAAAAATAATTCCACTTCAGATATTTTGCTTTAAGTGCAACTTTTCAAGAACATATCTATTGCCTTATTTTTTGAAGTGAGATATGCCTGCATATTAGCAATATTTTTGCATTTCCAGTTGACATTTTCACCTCAGCATTTAAAGCTCAATATAACAAAAAAGTCATCATATTTCTCCCTATGCTTGCTTCTCCTCCTGTCTTTCCTGTTTCTTCTAATGATACCAACATTCTCTCAATCACCCAGGCTTATAACCTAGTTGTTATCTCGGGCTTTATTTTATTCAATACTCACTGTGTATGTGATCATTTTCAATCAAGTCCTATTGTTCTGTGTCCATTATTGCTCAAATTTTTACCACCATATTTTTACTTCCACTGTCCCAATTCAGGTCTTCACTACTTCTAGCTTGAATAATTACAGTAGTCTTGTGGATTGTAGGAACAAAGATTTAGAGCTAGAAGTGACCTTAGAGGTTAGACATAGAGGTTAGAGGTTCATCTCCCTCTTTTTATAGATGAAGAAACAGTGATTTGCCCAGGCTCGTACAGCTAGTAAATGTCTGAGGTAGTATTTGAACTTGGTTCTGTCTTGGACAAGCCATTTAACATTTCTGGAGCAACCTTAGTTTCCACATCTAGAAAATGTTGGCTCTAGAAGGTCTCTTCTGACTCTAAGTCCTCTTCATGAATTTTGGCCTAAGTTGCTGGAATGTATTATTTTAAAAATGTAAGTCAATTCTCAACGATCAATATGACTATCAGCTTTGTGGATTACATAAGGGAGTTGGTTGACCTTCTTATACTTAGATTCTCCTGTAATTGGATATCTCAAGAATCTGACAACAAGGGTATATTGAAAGGGAATCTTTATTCTATCTATCTCTGGCTTTGTACAGCTGGGGTGAATAATGTGTATGTATGCATGTGTGTGTGTGCATGCACGTGTGTGTGTGTGTCTATCTGCATGTGTGTATGTTTCTCTCTTTCTCTTTGCCTGCCCTCCAGGGCGAGACAAACCACTTTAAGATTATTTGCTAGTTTATATCATCTCTACCTCTTCACCTCTCCATTAGTATGGATAATCAAGAGCTCTCTTGTGAGAACTTGCTTAAAGTCAGACACAAGACGTGAGATTTTCTTAAGGTTTTCAGACTCTCTTAATACCATGGAGCATTGCCTACCCTTAGCTTCCATAATATCTAGAGTTTTGAGTTTTTCTGAATATTGGGCTAAGTACAAAATTCTTTTTTTCTTAAAAAAATCAGTTTTTTTTTAAAAAAAAATGATTATTATTACTACTAGGATAGGTCCTGTTGTATGTCTGATGGACTGAACTAGGAGCCAAGAAGTTTGTTTGATTTCTAGCCCTTACAGGGCCTTTTTAGAAATAGACTTCACAGGTCTGTTTTTCCAGATGGGGTGATTGAGTTCATTATATCTGCTGTCTAATAATTTGGTTATTGTGAGAATGAATAAGTCAATATAGTAGCTTTGATATCCAGGCAGGAAAATGCCATATAATTGTTAGTTCTAGTAAAACATGAAGTTATTATGTAGTCATAACTATAAAGTGCAGTTAGCCAACATGAAGCAACATTTTGGTCAGAATAATTTTTAATATTAAATTTGATCTGTTAGATGTCAATAGCATCACTCATCATTTAAGCCACAAATGCTAATCAGCTTGATTATGGTACTTCAAATATAATTATCTCTTAGTGAATTGTTGCTTTGTGAATTAAACACATTGACCCTGTACTTTTCTATCTCTGGCTGATTGGTCATGGGTAGGTTAGCCTGAGAGAGACCAGGAGTTACTAATGGATGGGGACAACTGTTTTTGTCAATGATTCCTTTCTCACCCAGGATTTAATATTAGCCTTACTGCTTTCTTAGTTGAAAGTTTCTTGGTATGTATTATAATGGTAGAGGCAGGATAGTGGATAGAGAGGTGGCCTTGGAGCTAGAAAAACCTGGGCTTAAGGCCTGCCTCTGACGCAATCTAGCTATTTGATTCTGAGCAAGGCATTGAACTCAATACCCTAGGAAACTTTCTAAGACTGTATTTGCAGAGAAGCTGCATTTGTAGAAGGAATTTTGTTACCTTGGATTTCCTTATCATCTAGTGACTTCAAGGGTGGAAAAAAAATACAGTTGTAAAAAACAAACATCATTTCCTTTCTGCAAAGCATAATCCTAATTTCTGAACTTTCCCAAAATTCTTCTTGTGACAGTAAAAGGCTGTTTAGGAATTTCAGAATTGGGTGAAAGTGAAGACTTAGAGTTTACTAAGGTTTTTTGGTTTATGTTTTATTGAGACAGAGGATAAGAAATGCAGAGGAAGTCTGTGGTATGGGGAATTGCCAGTGTCAAATTCTCAAACGAATCTGTGAGCTTATTGATATGGGTATTTCTTCCAAGGACGCAGCTCTTACGTCATGCCTGCTTTTGTGATACTCCTTCCATGCGGCCCAGTGTGATAGATGGGGGTTTTCACCTTCTTTTAAAATTATTAGGCTACCAGGGGAATATGTGAGCTTTCCATCAGTTATCTCTTGTTCTTGCCAAATGATCAGTCCATCTTCTTTTTCAATCATGCATTTCTTTAATGACATCCTTTATATTGCTGCTTCTTCGTGATTCCTTTTTTGTGATATGCTGCTGCCTGCTCATACAGGGCTCCATTTACCCTTAAAGTCATCCTCATTTTCTTTCTTAAGACACTTTTGACTTAGTTGTACGGGAAGATTATTGTTATTAAAAAGATGCTTCTTCCCCCTAC